CCCCCCCAATCAGCTGCGGTCCCTCCACCACTAACAAAGAAACAAGAGCAAAAGTATGTTGCCAAGATGGGGGGGTGGGGGTGGTCAGGACACTATCACAGGTTGAACCCCTAGGCTATTCTTCATGTCACACCAGTTACCTTCCTATATCCTGGGTTGGTAGGGGGGAGTTAATTTTATTGTATTCTGTTTAGGTTTTGATTTTGCCCTCAACCCTGCTGAGCACTGTGACTAACATGTCACATGCTCCGTTCTGTCTCCAGGGTGAGATCAAATAAAAGAAACCTGAGAGTAAGTTTGTTTTTATTCAAGGCTATAACCTCTCTTTTCAGCGCGGGCTCTTGGCCATTCTGTCTAGTGCTCTGTTGTTCCTTCTTGAACCTCCTGCCTGCCCTTGTCCTTCCCTTCTCTTATTCTATGCATGAGAAACTTGTCCATGTCATTTGTTTCTCTCTCATAGAAGTTCAGTGTATTCTACACCTACACACCAAAGGCTTCCTTGTCACCTAATTATGACAGTCAGCTGTGCTATTTAGATTAACTTGTTCTGGTAGTTTAAAATCTATTGAGCCTTTGAGCCTCCATCCAAATTCTATTGCAAGTCTGCCTGAAGATTACTGTCATTTTAGCAGAAATAGGGCAAACGGTTCCCTTCTTCTCCTGTGTGGATACTCTGGCTAGTGCCCATGTGCTTGGTCACATTCTGCTGAGCAGGGGTTAACTTTGCCTAGAAGCTAGCTTCCTATGCAAGTAGATCAGTACACGTGATGGACCCCCACTTACAGGCTGCATATATAATGACCAGTTTCTTCTAATGACTGATCTTTGCTCCAATTTCTGATCCAGACAGTCGCTTGGTGACAGATCTAAGAGCATGCAAGCAGCCACTGGCTGCCAACATCAAAGGTCTCATGCCTGTATATACAGGGGTGGCAACAATCTACATGTGTCATTCCATTTGTGTAATGTGTAGGATGACATTGCCAGGCATTGTTTAGAGATGAGTATACACTTGACCAAAGATGGTTAGAGAGAGCTGAAAAAGCCTCAACTGTGAAGTGTCCATCTGTGTGTGCCCCCCCCCGTACGAAAGTAACTGGTTTCTGAGGATGTGGGCAAGATGAAGCGGGGTGGCTGCAGCTAAAGCTAAGGTTTTTGACTGAGGTGAGCTGATGCTCTTGCCAATACTAGGAGCTTGGAGATTCCTGGCTAGAGCATCTTGCTTTCCCACTCAGGGTCACATGAGTTACCAGATAGGTTGTCAGGAGGGAATTTTTTGCTTCAGTTACATTTGCATGGACTGTGGGGTTTTTTGCTTTCCTCTAGCATGGGGCACAGTTCTTCTAGGATCTCCTGAGTGTATATATTAATCACCTCCTTCCGTATGTCTGCTGGTCCTTATCTCTCCAGCTTTTACCTGTGCTGGGTGTTCTTGGTGTTCTGGAAATTAATTCCCTGTAGTTGGGGATGACACTTCCAAGTGGCTATTTTTGGGAAGGCAGGGCTGGACTGGGTGGCCTGGGAAGCCCTTTCAAGTCCCGTGTTCCTGTGTGGACAGAATCTGGACCATTTCCTACCCATGCAGCTGTGTATACTGTTGGGTGTTAACAAAGCTTCTGGTTCTCTGAAGGTGGAGAAGGGAGGCAGAAATGGTGCCTGAAACATGATTGTGGTGGACTCCAAGGGGCCAAGAAATTTGTGGCTAAAATTGTTCAGCTCCTCTTCAGGCTTGGTGGGTGAGCTGCTCCAGGAGATGGAGAGTAACAATAAAGCTTGTACCTGGTGTCTACCTCTATGTGCTTTGCAAGTATCATGGTGGTCCTCCAGCCAATGCAGGATGCTTAATAGTTTCCCAATCCACGTGCTTCCCCCTGCAACACCCTTTTCTTTGTCTCCTTTGCACAGGCTGGTAATTCCAGTTAGGGAAGAAAAGCCCAGCCTAGCATGAACAGCATTCAGATATGTGTTGCTTACTTGGACCCAAGATGATGGCCAAAGTGGGCAAGGGACTAAAAGGACACAAAGCTGCAATGCAGAAAGGTTTACACTGCAGCATCCTCATACAAGTCAAAGCCAGCAGCAAATACACAAACCGGTATAATAGGTCACCCATCACTGGGGTGCAGGGTAGTGAAACTCAGCAGGGTTCTCTCTCCCATGACCAAGTCACTTGTGAGCAAATACAAATGCTGTCAGTCCCCTGTCCCTTGTCCCCCATCCTGCCCACCTCTCTCTCCCCTGCCCCCAAGAGTACCAGACCTAGTGTAGACTCAAAAAATAAAACTCCTGGGCAGAACTAGCCAAAGACCTCACTAAAAGGGAAGCTGCTGCAGCAGTTGAAGTCTGGCTCTAGTGAAGTGGTCAGGCTACTTTACATAGATTTAATTCAGTATGCTCTTTCCATTGACTACCTGTTTCCTCTTTCCATTGACTACCTGTTTCCTTTCTTCCATTCCATGTCTTACTCTCCTTCAGCCATGGCTCCCCTGTGTTACCTGTTTTTCAACAGCTAAAAAGCAAGGGGCTGGGGTCCTGTAGCATAGGGTAAATAACTGTGATTTGGAATTTCTGTTATGAGCAGCATTGGCTGTACTGAAATAACTAGCCAAAAAGTGCATAGTGGATTGTTGTGGACATTGATCCCTTTTTTCCCCGCTCTGCATTATCTTGATTCCTTGCTTCCTTCCCTGCTGGAGATGAAGGGTATGGAACAAAAAACCTAGGACTCTGGTCAGATTTACTGTTATGGACAAGAATGTGTGAAAACCAGGGAGGATCTACAGCTGGCCTCTCGGGAAGAGATTTGGTCAGGAATATGACTAGCTGTAGAGGAGGAAAATGGTGGAATTAATCATTCCCTAGCTGAGAGGTCAAAGGAAGCATGTCTGACTACATTCAGTATGTGGAGGATGTGGAAAAGGAGAGGAGGACTTTGCAAAATATAACTACTTCAAAGCTAACTACTACTTTTTACACCCAAGTGGACACTACTAACAGTGTCTCAATAGGCTTTCACCCCGCACCTCCTCAGACAATATATTAACAAAATGCAGAAGTCCTAGGTGTTTAGCAGGTGCCTTGAAATGATGGTATCTCATAATTTTATGCAAGGCATTCCACCCTAGAGTCAAAGGGCAACAAACTGAGGTGACTCAGGGGCTCCAAGCCATTTCCCCAAGTGTCCTGTTCTGTGTCCTTGGGGCTTTGAGATTTTCCCCCTGAAGTGACTCTTCACACCTAGCAAATCTCAGTCTAACTAGTACTACAGCTAGTCCTTGCAGCTTAGTGGGGGAAGGCTCCATCAACTCTCAGATTCTCTCAGGCCTGCAAAAGGACAGAGATCTGCCATTTTTGTGAGAATGGAATGCCCATGGTTGTCAGCACCCCTGAAATCACTCAACACAAAATAATTACTAAGGCATAAAACAGAGAATAAGATTTATTACATAGGATAGGAAGAACACACAAGGAAAAGGAACTGTTAAGCTTGGAGACAAATATGCAAAACAATAGAAATATCTCACTTCTGTCTTCTCGCTTGAAGCAGCTTCCAAATGACTTTTGTCTTGTGTTTGTGTGAGCTAGCAATCCTGCCAGCTTTTCCCAGCCTCCCTATCTAGGATCTCTCTGTCTTCTCTTAGACACCAGGAGACCTAGATGTGACTTCTCTAATTGCTATTTCCCATGTTTCATTTCTTGTTCTATTGCTCAGCGTACACATTTGCCTTGGTAGATGCTCTCCTTCCCCTGGACAGACAGCTGTCTGACAATTTTGTGTGTCCTTTCTGACATGCAACTGATAGATTTTCCTTCTGAAATGCATTTGGCTGTTGTTTCATACAACCTCTATTCCATGTAAATACTCAAAGAGTTTTGCCACCTCCATCTGATGGGTGTACAGGCCAAAGCCGTTCTGAGGTATAACCATTGTCTAGTGAGAGGTGCTTTTGTCATCTGAGCTGACTATAAACCCACTGACAATTTCTTGATTAGGTCAGATTACGAAAGTAGAAAGAGATACATTCATATAAAATACCATGTTTCATAAGAATGCAAATGTAGCTCTTTAGCTGTTATAACAGGCCAAACGTGAGGGTAGCAAACCTAATTTGGGGAAATATCTCTGCTTGTATAAATAATGTTCCCTGAAATTAAAAACAGCATAAATGTGTAACCCATGACACAAAGCAATGTTAATAGAATCTGTTTCTTCAGAATAATTGCTTTCTTTTTCTGTTAAAGTGAGAGCCGCCCCCAAGTTCTGCATTCTGATTTTTATGACAATTTGGTTTGCAGTGACAGCTAGCCTACAATAAAGTTTTATTCTTTTGAAAGATAATTCCTCTGATCTTTGCAATTTCAGTAGAGTCACAGCAGGGAACAATTTTGCTTCCCCACACAAAATTGCTATAAATATATAAAGCACCATAGCACTGAACCAGTGTCAAGTGTTTAAATTCATAAAATTCATCGTTGCTCTCCATCATCATGAATGTTCTAAAAGACAAAAGCAAGAACATTTAACTTAGTGCTGCACACCTGCTACCATTCATGTTCTCAGCCATAAGTCCTCAGTGCCTAACAGTAGGAGCAAGAGGTTTGGTGTGGGTAGTTCAGTCCTTGCTATTTACTTCACCTTAGCTTCTCCAAATACTGTGTAAAATGCATCGGGCAAATATTACAACAACGTTGGCCACTGAAAAATACTTGCAAGGAAGCAGTTTTTAGTTGTCAGCCTCCCAAAGACAACTTCAACCAGTCCTGTGTTAGTAGAATTCTACTACAGATGGAACAACCTGGATCATTTTGGTCTGGGGATGACTCCATACACTGGAGCATGCAGGTCCTCCAAGATAACAATGGGCATGGAAACACGACTCATGTCCAGGCTGTGGGGAGTGGGAATACAATTCAGCTTTTTCCAGTTTAGAATAGTTGAGAAACTTGAAAGTTGCTTCATATGCTTTGCCTAGACACTCCTGGCCACCTGCTGGCTCAGGAAAAGCTTAATGAGGAGTTCCAGGGAAATATTTTTCCTAATCCTTCTGGTTGTCCTGGATCTTGAGAACAGCATGACTGCTGTTCGTAATGAAGGGAAAGAATCTGTCTGCTGAGATTAATTTTTGAGGGCAGAGAGAATTCCGCTTTCCATCCCTTTATTTGGGTGAAGCTAAATGACCTTTGCCCTCCCTTGCAATCGTAAAGTTTTGTCCCACTGGGCTAAAGCTGTAGGCCAGCTCAGAAACTGTAACCCATGTGGGCACTTTAATTCCCTATTCAAATATACAGCTAGATATCTGGCTGGTAGCAGGGAGGCCTGTCTTCCAGTTCAGTGTCCCACCCCTGTCTTCTCTATAAGCTCCCTGAAACACCTTCTTGGGCACCTTTGCAGCTATTTCATATTACATTTAAGTCAAGATTGATGATGATGAAAGTAGGGGAAAAGGCAGGATGGCTAACAGGAATTCATAGATTTCATAGACGTTAGGGCTGGAAGGGACCTCGAAGATCATCAAGTCCAGCCCCCTGCCCCAGGGGCAGGAAGTCAGCTAGGGTCAAAGGATCCCAGCAAGATAAACATCCAAATGTTTCTTGAGTGAATTCAGAGTAGGTGCCTCCAGCACTTCTGGAGCGAGTCTATTCCAGGTCTTGGGGACTCAGACAGTAAACAATTTCTTTATGTCCAGCCTAAAACGGTCTTGAAGAAGTTTATGACCATTGGTCCTGGT